GCTATGGGAAAAAGTAATTCCGACGCACTTTAAGCCATCATGACGCGCTGAGAGTGCTCGATTGAAGGGGCACCAGCGACGGGGAAACACACCCATTCTCAGGACAGTGGGTCACATAGTCATGTCTCCTGCTTAACGTGACCTGTATAGCCTGCCCTTTTACGTGAGATGGGAGACTCCTGACAAATCCTGCCTGACACACGGATCGGGCATGGGACCGATTGTGTGGCACCCGTAGACGGACTGCGTAACCTTCTTCACCACTCATTATGAGCTTCCCTAAATAGACAACATAGTCTCTCTCGTGTCATTTCCTCAGGCCTGCGTACGCCATCTACGTCAAACTGCACTTAAGCTCCACCAAGGCAAACGTCTTGAAGAGAGTGAGCATTTTCTAGATTTGCATAAAATATCCACTCGTACAGCCTTGACCTAGGATAAGGGCAATGTACACAAGTACTTTTTTGAATTGCCTGGCAGATGTGAATGCAAGCTGAAGTTATGCCCACTGAGTACCACTATCTCACAGAAAGCTCATATTTGCGTATATTTCAAACATCCACTACCTGCCGTAGCATGGTTATTAAACCACACGTCTTCCTCTGTTGGCATGCCATGTAATACTGTAGGCAGTGAATACGTGTAGGCGGTTCTATGACGCCTTTCTGTGCGAGTTTCTGAGAATTCTGTCGTCCTTGCTGTGTTCCTGTCAGAGCGACTAAGGAGACAAACCATGAGTCATTATTGAACTTACCGGTACTGCCGCACAGAGGCCGCAGTCGGAGCAACTATAAAGGTATTCGCAGCACTAACCTTCCTCACATTTCTGTGCTGTGGTAAGAGATATAAATAGACGTCGGGCAACGGTAGATGTAACAATTAAAGCGCTGTATCCTTGATGAAATTGTAGGCCTTACCGATTTGCTCCTTAACCAAATCCCGTCCCTCAATGGCGGGCGTGATTGACGAAAGTCGCGTAGCATTTTCGTAGTTTGGATCTTTGGTGATGCTCAAACGGTTGGCTGGAACGAAATGGATAACTTCGAAGGTATGTACTGCGTACTTGTCTGCACCTGGAAGGGGGTAGGAGATGCATTTAGATTTTCTGCACTTTCTGCTACATGCGAATCCAAGCACTGTGAGCAGTTTTTAATGAGTAAATGACGAATTTTAAATGATTGCCGTCTAAAAGATTGCGGAGAAACATTCAGATTGAGGAAAATGAAACCCATAATCCAGTTGTGTGTTTATGCTATGATATATGGGAAACGCACCCTCGAGTGTGGTAGACTTTGTGGAATCAGATATGCATTTGTGCCAAGCGGCTGCACAGTGCGCCAGACTGTTTACTAATCTTCCTAAACAATGTAACGCCAATGAATGAACTGGCTGCGTACATTGGCCCTATCCCAATCATTTTTATTTGTGGAAAGCATGAGATGAGTCCTAAACGGCCTCACTTAGCATAATTCCCCCCCCCACTCCCGGACATCAGTTTCTAACCTGCTACCCGAATGTACTGACTTTGCGACTGCGATAAATATGTTTTCCTTTGAATCCGGTTGAGATAGATAGTTTACAATGGGTGGCGTCTTATTAATGACAGCACGATGGTTAACAGACGGCATACACCCCACACGCTCTCTGTCGCGCGGCATACTGACTGGAACACGATCTCAGTGGACTACGTTCAGGCTACTCATAGTTGTCCGCATAGATTATGGTATACAATGTGCGTCGGCGCACGATCTAGTTAACGAAACGCATCAGCTGCAGGCGTACGCCAAGCTGGAGTCTAATAAACGACAATATCGACTGGCGGGGGTGAATGTAGACACTCACCAATGACTGCCAGAGTGCAGTGTCGGACGGACTGGCTCACAATCTGTCCGGTTACTTACTTGTACTTGGTAGAACTGCGATCATGCCATATCTAGCCAGCCTCGATGATGCCCCGAACTGTACCTCTCAACGCCTGACGTTTAGTGGCTGCAGATCTGGATCGTTAAACTCATACTCTTCGCCAACTACGGAGACCGAAGTCTCAAGATACAAGAACCACTTCCATGTCTTAAAAGACGGCTTCGAACCAGGTTTTGCTTTGACTCCCTCTTCGACTTCTCTGATGGGGTTACGGGGGCGGATCGAGGGTGGTAACACTGAACTCTTAAGGTAGGCGACGAAGAAACCGTCCAAACTACCTCAGTCGTCTTTCTGGTGTGAGAGCATAACCTATGCAAGGAGACAAGCGTTGTTATTTCAGAGAAATGTTTGCGTATATTACAAAACGTGGTAAGCTTTCTCAGTTACTTTCAGGTTGACGAAGTCGTGTTGGAGATGTTATCGTGATAATTCATCTCACCCGCGAGTCCATCGTCAAGGAATGAAAAATTTTACAACGCATCGCATTTTTAGTTTACATCAGTCGGGGATGACCTCCAGCTGCGATGCTGATTTGTTCACGAAGTGCTTGATAAACGATTAGCAAATCGATATGTCGATTGGTCGAGTTTTCAGTTGAGTGCGACGCTTCCTGCAGCAGGCGCGCAACTCCTTCGTCTGACTGGCCCAAAATTCTCACGCACTCAAAGTCAAAGTCGTGTCCTGATGAGGAGGAGTGGGCGGCTACCAAGGAGAGTTTAACTTTTCGTCTTACAGTCAGCTCAATCTCGTGAAATATCGTGCAAACCTGTTTGCCGGCTTCACCAGCATAACTGACCAGGCCACAATTGCATTCTGTCCGTTAAAGGATCCCCGATTTCTGACTTATGGGAAGCTTATATATCATCAGAGACTGAATGATGTCTTCCCGTCCATACAGTTTACTCGTAAAGAGGCAATAGGGGACAGTCTGCTGTTTGTTGACGTAAGAATATGAAGGCTGAGCGGTGGTAGTTTCGCAACGAGCGTCCATTAGAAAGGATCTAATTCTGAAATTATCCTCCACCACCCCGAGGCTCACAAAAGAAGCTACGTACGAACTCTGTTACACCGGGCCTATCGTTATTGCAACAGTGACGATCTTCTTAAGAAAGAGCTTGCCTACCTGTATCGGTTGTTTCGATCTAACGGATACCCGAAAAGTTTTGTAAAGAACGGCCTCAGACACCAGGCACAAACGCAAGGTTCCACACTCAAACGTTAGATAACCGACTGCCTACGGTAAACGAAACCCTTTGAATTCCTGGATTAAAATAGTCCAGTGAGGATGGAAGATAGATATTACCTGCAAAGCTATCCACATCAAAGTCCGACGCCTCCGTTTCCGAAGAACCACACCAGTGCAGAGGCACCGAGGATGTAGACTTGGACTCCACCTCAAGGACTGCGTTCTTCTCCACCCCTGCGTTTTTATTGAGAGGACTACTAAACCGGCGGAGGATGACTACCCGTCGTTGAACTTACCAGTAATTACCTATCGGTGATGACGAATTCAGTGATGGCGGGAGGGCTTTCGTTGCATCACCGTTGCTGTCTTCGCTGGCTCCAAAAAATCAAACAATAGACATTAAGCATTCCTTACAGGTGGCAGAATGCTCTGGCTTTTTGCAGACACCCTCAATCATGCTGCGACTCATTCTTGAACACAATTTTGAAAATCCTCTTTAAAACATTGTTCAAGCAATGGCCAGTCTCAACATAAGGCCAGTTGGCCCACTCTCACTGTGACCGGAGAAATCAATTACTTTGTGGTCCAGTTCATCGACTATTGTCCTCTTCAGAACGTATGTACAAACCGTCTCACACTCCGCTATCGGTCGGAATTCATTTGCACAATGTGAGAAGCTTTTTGTGGAAAAAATGTCTCGACATCGGGACGCCTGTACAGGAGACAACTAGCCTCCTATCAGATTGCTGTGACAAACAGTTGACTTCTCAACTTTCGTACGCCGAATAAGTCCGACATACAACGGTAAAACTGGTGCATCCCTGCGTATATCCAGCATGCAACCGCGTCCAATCTCTCAACTATTTGTCAACTATGTTGGGCCTAGTTACAGTTGAACAGAGCTGTGACAACTTCACTTGATTTGCATGGAATGTTAGGCATGTGCATAAAACCGGCTTCAACAGTCATATTTTAAATATAGTATCTCCAGGTCCATACACCAAAACTTATCAACACCTGGCTTTCTACAACAAAAAACGGACCGCCAACCGGTTACGTGTCCATGCATTGGATTATCGTCTGCAAATACCGATACCATACACACGCGATCAATTCGTGAGATAACATATCTACTGCACATTCACACTCGGAAGCCACGTGCTAATTAGAATCTAGGCAAAACACCCACTTGAATCTCTTCCATTCCCGACTTAAATGAGTCAGATGGAAAGGAATGAGAAAGAATAACCGCTGAGCCTAGAAATGCGAAGACAGTCCTTGCCGCAAATACATTTATAGTTGCCCAGACTCCTACCTCTGTACGGCAGGATCGGTAAGTCCAATAATTACTCATCCTCTGTCCCACTAGTCGCACTGATAGGGGTACAGTAGAGACAACAGAAATCACAGAATCTCACACAGAAAGACGTCATAGAGCGGCCTACACGTATTCGCTGTCTACAGTATTACCTGGCACGCCAACAGAGGAAAACGTGTGGTTTAATAACCATGTTACGGCAGGTAGTGGACGTTTGAAATATATGCAAACATGGGCTTACTGTGAGGTATTGGTACTCAACCGACATACCTGGTCATTTGCAGTATGGACCAGGGCATGTGAATGGGAATGCTGAGGTGCAGGCTCGACCGTGCCATTCATATACGCACTAACTGACTCCGTTCTTTTTGACTCTGACGTGACACCGAGTCAAGGTGTGGAGTAGGAATAGAGAATGCGAGGGATGCTGTGCAAGTCCATTTTCATGCACAAGTCATCGTCTCTGCTCTCACCCTGTTGTGGGGCACACGGTGGACACAGTCCAGATCGACAGTCGGTATGCATTGTCATGTATCTTACTGTCTGACATGAATATGCTAGTAGTACCTGCTTATGCTTGCCACAACTGCCGTTGTGGGAACGAAAAGTGAAGCTTTGTTGGAGGCCGGCGAAGCTGAGTCGCCTTATGCAACCATCCTGGAGGATGTGGCTGGAATTAACTTCAGGGCCTTGGTGGACCAATGGAATAAAAATGGACTCATGGGTAAATATCGTTTCCATCCTGTTCTATTGACTGTAATTAATAGATAATCTATGATTTAATGGGCACAGATTGAAGCAACCGCAGGATGGTCTTAAAATAGACACACCGCCTCAGGAGGTGGTGAGTTAGAGCGTCCTTGTTCGAGAGGAATCTGGATAATTTTCCCTTGAGACTTTTGTAATTTACATTCAGGGGCCCTTAAGAACTATTTCAATAATAACTGCCAATGTGTTTGCTTCGATCTACTCAAGAGCTAAGCACTGACGCATTCAACAACAGCGTACAGAAACTGGGACTGTCCTTTTGTCATTCAACCGCAATCCAGTTAGCCAGCTCAGCATGATTAGAATCACTGGGTGGGAGGGGGGAGTCTTGTAGGAATAGCATTTTAACAACACTGAGGGAAGAAATCACACATGCGGGACAATGTTTGCATTTAGAGACTGATATTGACGCCGTCTCAAATAGAATCCCGGCGGGTGTTCTGAGTTGATTCTAATTCCTTCTCGAGTTATCAAGCTGTCGGCACCAAAATCGACGTAAATGATGACAAAAGCAAAATAATGTCCCAAGGGGCTGCCAATTCTACTTTTAGCTAGGCGAAGCATTCCATCGAATAGAATTGTAAGATACCTAACTGTGATAGTTTGGCCATGACCTATGAAGGACACTAGGCCATACCTACTGAAAAAGTGCGAGGTGTGTCCCGATTTGGTCTTGATTGGATGACAGGCATGAAAATGTGCTCTTTGATAATTGACAAAGACATGTTCGAATCACCGTGTGATCACCTGAGCCTCCAGTATTGTTCTGACGTTGTATATGCACGGATGATTTCATGGCCTCTGTTGATACTGTGTAGCCTAATTGGAACTTGGGTTACATCTACTCTATTAGAAGGTGCTTTTTAATATGGCTAATCATCTACTGGTAAGAGCATCGGATGCCTCGATCGGAGCCTATTTGCTCATTTGGTTAGGTCGTGCTGATGACTTGCACATGCTTTAGCGCATGTGAATCCCACAGAGATGCCGATTCTTTCACCATGGATGATCACTGGGCGGGAGTGAGGTGGGGTGTTGGGGTGGGGGGGGGATAGATCACACATGCTGGACGGTGTTTTGCAATTAGAGATTGACATTGATGCTGCTCCAATTTCAGTTTACACACGCTTCCGTTCCGCACCCACCCCGACGTCTTCTGTGTCTATTTCCATGGGCGAGGCCTCGACGACGGAAGCAGGAACCTCAGAAATTCACCGCGCTGCAGGTATTCTTTCTCATCCCGTCCCATCTGACTCATTTAATTTGGGTATTCAGGAAATTCAAGTGGGTAATATGGGTGGATTGTTATTAGGACGTGAGTTTCGACTCTGAATGTAGAATAGATGCGCTATCTCATGAAATACTTGCCAAACTTCTGAAATTAGCTGCGCAATGCAAGGTAGCCGAAGACGACGCTATACCCGGTGATATCTACAAGACTTTTATTGACACTCTGGCGTCCTGTCTATGTGATGTGTTTGAACGGGAGTGGAGAAATGAGGTTGCTCCTTATGACTGGGACTCAGGCATGCTTATGCATATCCTCAAGAAGAGAACGAAGGCAGGATGCGAGAACTACCGCAGCATAAGCCTCATCGATGTTGCTGCGAGGCTCCTCGTTATTGTCCCTCTTGGGCGACTACAGGCTGTGCGTGATTCCAGCAGAATGTCCAAGCAAGCAGAATTTCCTGCTGGACGAGGATGTACGGACCAGATGTTCACACTGATGCGCATTCCACAATTCCGTCATAACTACCAGCAACCGAGGGTTGTGTGAGTTACTGACTTTGTCGCCGCGTTCGAGTCCGTCCATCATGCGTCCCTGTGGTGGATAATGGTAGTAGGTGGTGTACTGCCAAATATCATCGGCATGATCAAAGCCTTTTATCACTCAAGTAATACGCCTATTCTGGCTCGCAGCAGTCTTTCCCTGCCGCTCGGTATTCGGTATGGCGTTCGACAGGGTTGTCTTCTGTCGCCAATTCTGTTCAACTACGCCACTGACTGGATTTTCATGAGAGCCCTACACTAAGGCGAAGTTGTTGAGTTGACACCCGGGCACTGACTGACTGATCTTGACTATGCCGAGGATATTGCCTTACTGGGTGCAAATGTTGGTGATCTGAAGTCTATGGTGTCATGGGTGAACGAGTTTGCAAAATCGGGTCGTTTATGCATAAACGCCGGGTAAATAGAGTAATCAAGCTGCATCCCTGTCCAGGAGAAGGAACCTCTGGGGATTCCTGGCTGTGAATTTGAAGAAGAAGAAGAAGATGACAATCTTAAATACCTCGACGCGAGTTTTCTGCCGAATGAACAGAGGAAGTGCGACATTGTATTCGAAATTGATTCTGCCCACCGGATTTTCTCAAGCCTTAGAAAATGCATATGGATTTGATGCTACTCTGACTGACCGATCTCTTTAAATATTGGCCTAAATTCTGAAATGTCTTTTCGTTTAGGAGGTATTACTTATGTGCGGTTGTAATACTTATTATCTTGCGGCATAAGTCTATAATATTTGGGACTCTGCAGGATGCCAGCTTTTGAATGCAATGACTTCCAATCTCCCCTGGAATCCGTACTCGGTAAAAAATGATTATTAATGTAGCATATATTTTTAGCATTGATTTTTGATGGCCTTGCAAATTAGAGTATAGTTTATAGAGAACATGAACAAAATATGCCTTCTTTAAGTCATTTGAGAGAGAATCAATTCACTCTTATATTTTATACTCGAAGAGGGAATATAATAAGGTTTTAAAACATTTTCTAATTATTAGATTTTTAGGAGCGTGCCATGTGCATTCCTACAACATCCTACCTGTCTGTTTACCACTGCTCCTCATGAAATGCACATCGTCCGCATCCATTGCAAAACTTTATGGATCGTATGTTATTTTCTTTACGGGGAACACATGCACCTTGTAGACTGAAATCACTAAGCGCTAATGCAACGGCTAATCAGGCTCCAAATTATTCGGGATTAGAAAACATTGATTAAAGCCTAATTAGACTTCTTTTTCGAGTATAAAATATAACGACGATGTGATTGTCTATCACCTGATTGAAAGACAGCATATTTTTGCTCGTGGTTTTTATAAAGTATATTGGATTTTGCATGATCGCCGAAAATCAATGGGAAAAGCGCATGCTCCTTAAGCAATCATTTCTTGCCAAGTTCGGTTACTACAGAAAACTAAAAAACAGTGTATTCAAAAGCTGACATCCCGCCGAGTCCAAAATGTTATAGGATGATGCCGCGAGATAATGAGTATTACAAAAGTGGCTAAGTAATCCTTCTCAATCAAAAACACATTTCAGAATTTTGGCCAACATTTCATGAGATCGGCCACGCAATCTATATCTCCATCGCCACTAATATTCGCGCAAACCACGCATGTATCCAGCCTGTCCTTCTGGTTCTTTCTTAAGCGACTGCGAATATCACAACAGCTATAGTGTATTTCAGAAATTGATAATCCCTAGTGAGTGAAGGATAGACCACACATGCTGGCCCGTGTTTTGCATATAGAGTCCGACATCGAGGCTGCTCTAATGTCGTTTCCAACAGGTCTCAGTACTACACTCAGCCCAACGCCTACCATGTCTATTTCCCTGTGTGAGGCCTCTAACACTTAAACAGGTGCATCAGCTATTCGTACATCTGAAGGTATTCTTCCTCTTTGCTTCCCATCTGACGCATTTCAGTCGAAAATGGAAGAGATTCAAGTGGGTGTTTTGCGTAGATTCTAATTAGCACGTGGTTTCCGAGTCTGAATGTGCGGTAGATATGTTACCTCACGAATTACCTGCTTGTGTATGGTATCGGTGTTCGCAGACGACACACGTAACATGTAGGTGGTCTGTTTTTTGTTCTAGAGAACCAAGTGTCGATAAGTTTTGGCGTATGGACTTGGAGATACTATTTTTAAAATATGAATGCAGAAGATGGTTGTGTGCACATGCGTAAGTTTCCATGCATACCAAGTGCAGTTGTTACATCTCTAGTCTACTGTAATTAGGGTTTACATTCTTGGCAAATGGTTGAGAGATTGGACGCGGTTACATGCTGGATATACACAGGGATGCACCCGTTTTACCGTTGTATGTCGAACTTAGTCAGCGTACGGAAGTTGAGAAGTCAACTGTTTGTCACAGCAACTTGAGAGGAGGCTAGTTGTCTTCAGTACAGACGTTCCGATGTCGAGACATTTTTTCCACAAAAAGCTTCTCACATTGTGCAAATGAATTCCGACCGATAGCGGAGTGTGAGACGGTTTGTACATACGTTCTGAAGAGGACAATAGTCGATGAACTGGACCACAAAGTAATTGATTTCTCCGGTCACAGTGAGAGTGGGCCAACTGGCCTTATGTTGAGACTGGCCATTGCTTGAACAATGTTTTAAAGAGGATTTTCAAAATTGTGTTCAAGAATGAGTCGCAGCATGATTGAGGGTGTCTGCAAAAAGCCAGAGCAATCTGCCACCTGCGCGGAATTCTTCTTGTCTATTATTTTATTTTTTGTGGCCAGCGAATGCAACAACGGTGGGGCAACGTGAGCCCCCCCCCGCCATCACTGAATTCGTCATCACCGATAGGCACTTACGGGTTAGTTCAACGACAATTAGTCATATTCTCCCTGTTGAGTATTCATCTCAATGAAAACGCAGGGGTGGAGAAGAACGCGGTCCTTGAAGTGGAATCCACGTCTGCATCCTCGGTGCATCTACACTTGTGTCGTTCTTCGGCAACGGAGGCGTCGAACTTAGATGTTCATGGCTTTGCAGGTACTACCTATCTTTCATCCTCAATGGACTCTTTTAAGACAGGAATTTAAGGGGTTTTGTTTACTGTAGGCAGTCGGTTATCTAAGGCCTGAGGCCTCGTTCGAGTGAAAATACTTGTTAAATAAATGGTAGACTGTGTGAGATGTAGTTATGTGACCCCGCCATGTGGACATATTACTGTTGGTGTTGGGGCTAGGGGTTAGGGTTGGGCGTTATTGATTAGGGGCCTTAACGTTGAAGGTGCGTACCCCATCCTCACCTGTAAAAACCCCTATTACTACCGGTCCCATATTACAGGTGGCTGAGGTTTGTTTACTTCTGTTGGGGCAACATAACCACATCGGACCCTCCAGTGTGTGGGATACACAAAACTAACTGCTCATGCCGACCAGATGCGTCAGCTGCAATAGCGCTGGAAACTATGAGTAGCATTAACACAGTCCACTGAAAGGCCGCGTATCCAATGTATCCCAGCATAAACACACATCTCGACTGGAGGTTTAATTGTCCTAAATTCGAACGCTGCTCCGCAATCTTTAAGACGAAAATCATTTAAAATTCGTCATTTACTCATTAAAAACTGATCACAGTGCTTGGATTCGCATGTAGCAGAAAGTGCAGAAAATCTAAATGCATCTCCTACCCCCTTCCAGGTGCAGACAAGTGCGCAGTACATACCTTCGAAGTTATCCATTTCGTTCCAGCCAACCGTTTGAGTATCACCAAAGATCGAAACTACGAAAATGTTACGCGACTTTCGTCAATCACGCCCGCCATTGAGGGACGGGATTTGGTTAATGAGCAAATCGGTAAGGCCTACAATTTCATCAAGGATACAGCGCTTTACTTGTTACGTCTACCGTTGTCTCATGATGATACTGGCCATTGCTTGGACAATGTTTTGAAGAGGATTTTCAAAATTGTGTTCAAGAATGAGTCGCAGCATGATTGAGGGTGTCTGCAAAAAGCCAGAGCATTCTGCCACCTGCGCGGAATTCTTCTTGTCTATTATTTTATTTTTTGTAGTTAGCGAATGCAACAACGCTGATGCAACGAAAGCCCTCCCTCGCCATCACTGATAGCTAATTGCTGGTTATTTCACCGAGAGGTAGCCATCCTCCCCCGGTTTAGTAGTCCTCTCAATGAAAACGGAGGGGTGGAGAAGAAGGTGGTCCTTGAGGTGGAGTCCACGTCCACATCCTCGGTGCCTTTGCACTTATGTTGTTCTTCGGAAACGACGACGTCGGACTTTGACGTGCATGGCTTTGCAGGTACTATCTATCTTCCATACTCACTGGATTCTTTTAAGACAGGAATTCAAGGAGTTTTGTTTACTGTAGGCAGTCGGTTATTTAAGGCCTGAGGCCGCGTTCGAGTGAAAATACTTAAATAAATGTTCCAGTGGGTGAGATGTAGTTATGTGACCCCACCTGGTGGACACATTGCTGTTGGTGTTGGTTAGGCGTTATGGTAAGGTGACTTAATGTCGAATTTGCGTACCTCGGCCCCAAGTTTAAAAACCCGTATTAGCATCGGTCCCGGATTACGGGTGGCTGGGGTTTGTTTACTTCTGTTGGGGCAGCATAACCACATCTGACCCTCCAGTTTGTGGAATACACAAAACTGACTATTCATGTCGACCAGATGCGCCAGCTGCAATAGCGCGCTTCCACGCTCAAGGTGTGGTTTATTGCATCTGCGCCTGCTGGAGATGCGAGCTAACTTTATTGTATCCGAGTACGTTAATTTAGGCTAACATCATTTTAGGCACGCTTTAACCGGATATTTATTTTTTTCGTCCTAGATTCTACTCCTGAATATCCTGTTGTTGGTCTCATTTTTAATCTACACGTTGTGATATATTTCAGGGACTTCAAATTGTATCACTGCGGACTGCCCTTCCCGTCCCGTCATTCCACAAACCCTTGCAAGCCCTTCGTTGAGAAATCGAGGTAGGGGTTTGCGTCAACGTATTCGCGAACTGTTCCTTTGTTGCTGGGGCCGTTCTCGAAAAGAACATGCTTTGTTGTGCTTGTATGTATTTGTGATATCCCATTTAGCCCACAGTTTTGCAGATGTATTCTTGTAATTAGTCAATATTTGCCAATAAATTATTTTTTACTCAATCACATTTTCGTATTTAAGATATGTTTGGGCATGCCTTTGAAATATTCAGACGTCTTTTGAAAGCCGCCGCAACCAGTGCGTGCCGTGTGCTGAAACTCTTTTTTGAGCCTTCCGGAATCGCTCGATCTTACGCTAGCCAATCAACTGCCCTGTCAATACTCTGATAAATGACATAGGCTGAATATTTGCCATCCACGGATGGAGTCAGTAATGTGAACATTGTGAGACATGCAGTCGGTCAGCGCTCCGCAGATTAGTGGCAGCCGTTATCTCAGCATCTAATTCTTGCCTGTAGGAGGACGATATTTCAAGGTAGGCTGGGAAAACTTTGAGCAGGGAGTACAGTGAGTGACCGATCTCATGAAATGTTGGCTGAAATTCTAAAATGCGTTTTCGATTAGGAAAGATTGCTTAAGCGCCTTCGCAAACCTGATTCCCTTGCGGCATAATTCTATAATATTTCGGACTTGGCAGGACGTCAGCTTTTGAATGCTCTGCTTTTCAATCTCCCATTGAATCCGTATTCGGTAAGAAATGACTACTAAATTAGTTGATTTTCGATGGGCTTGCAAAGTTAAATATATTATATAGAAACCACGAACAAAAATATTCTTTCTTTCAGTCGCTTGATGAAGAATCACTTCGTTCTTATATTTTATGCCCGAAGAAATGGCATAAGTAGGTTTTGAAAAAGTTTCCAATTATGAGACTTTTCAAGACCGTGCAATATACTGCATCGTACCTGTCTGTTTACCGCTGCCTCTCATGAAATGTACAACATGGTCCGCATCCAGTGCAAAATTTTATGCATTATATATGGTGTCTTTTTAAAGGCATAGAAGAATATGCGATTTTCTTTACGGGGAACACATGCACCTTGTAGACTGAAATCACTAAGCGCTAATGCAACGGCTGATCAGGCTCCAAATTATTCGGGTATTAGAAAAAATTTTAAAAGCCTAATTATACTAGTTTTTCGAGTATAAAATACAAAGACGATGTAATTCTCTATCTATCGACTGAAGGAAAGCATATTTTTGTCCCGTGTTTCTATAAAGTATGTTTCAATTTTCAAGTCCATCGAAAATCTTTGTAAAAAATGCATGCTAATTAAGTGGCCATTTTTCCAGAGTAGGGTTTATAAAGAATAAAATGTAGCGTATTCAAAAGCTGACATCCTGCTGAGTCCGAAATATGCTAGGATTATGTCCCATGATAATGAGTGTTTCAACCCCACCTAAGTAAACATTCTTAATCGAAAACACACTTCAGAATTTCAGCCAACATTTCATGAGATCGGCCACTCATTGTACGTGTAGGGCACGGGGGTTTGTGATAAAGGGATGAGCTTTTATAAACGCAAGTTCAACAGGTTCGGCATCAAAATTTCCCCCCACTATGACCGAGCGACTTAAAATTAGGCCACCGAGTCCGCAGCAGTCGAGTCGTCTGGGCCTTTCCATACGTAGGAGACAGATTATGCATTTTCGATCAGTACTCACTAATTAAACCCCGCGATGGAGCAAGGAACGCCACAAACGTAGGCGAGATGACGTTGAAGGAGTGTCGTGCCGCTGGGAAGCAGTGATGCGCTTTATTTAATTCTCGATGACCAGTTGAAAAAATACACTGTAAAAAATAGTTTCAAATTAAATCTACCTTAGAAAGCCAGAATCTTCTCCAATCGATGTAGGACTGCTGCATTGCATCAAAATGTTCTTTTGGCCAAAAGTGCCGTCTAGTCTTACAGAAACGGAACTCTCTGAGACCATAGAAAGGTGGCCGGAGAATGGAGAATAGAGGAATTGCATTGTCCATTCGTAAATAAAACATTCTCCATTTTCGGTTCTAGCAACCGCTGAGTATTTCAAGCTTCCGAGTTTTTTGTACTCGATTTCATGCTGCACCAGACCTAGAAATCTATTTCAGTCCGGAAACTGATACACAGAATAAACGTCAATCTAGGATGCCCTGTCCACTTTTGTTGGGTGCTTTTCTGGCTAAACTTCCGTGCAGATTATTGATTATCGAAAATTCGTACGAGCCCGTATTTGAGCGTCTTTTGTGGTCACCTAGATTTTATTAAATTTCTGGCACCAAAATGTGTGGAGCGTTTAGGCGGCTGGCATTTGAGCTAAAAACAATGTTCAATTTCCGTACCTCTTGCCTATGAAAGAACCCTTTGAACAATCATTTAGATTTCGCTTAAATTCACCCCAATGCAGGCACTCAGTACTAATTTTTATCTGTCCAAGTGTGGTAGACCGATTGTCCGACTAAGATCTCTGAACAATCCAATTTGACAGGCTCACAAATTAGTTTACTCGATACGTCATTTAATGACTGGTACAGGATCCTCTTGAACATACCCCCCACACCAGATATTTATACCTATGTGAAATAAGGAAGAGGTTCTTCGGAAAAATCGAGTTGTACTCGTGACTTTTCGATCTGGTGGCACCAACCCGTCGTCTGCCGAAATAAAGACAAGGGAGAAAGTTGGTTTATCACACTAGACTAGTTAGCTCCACAGGACAGACAGACTATTGGCCTATGAGAGGGATGGTCACAGAGTCATAGTATGTCTCTGTACGAGGGGGGAGGCGGAACAGTTACGGGTGTCTGTGCTGCAAGGGGAGGGTGGATGGTGGATCAATTGGACGCTGGGTGGCTAGATTAGCGGCCGTTGATGTGGCATTAGGGCAGGGAGCATTAAGTCGTGAGCGTAGGCCCTCGTAATGGGCGTCCAGGTCAACATGGCGGTTGATACTACCAACATTGGAGTACCAAGCATCGGGAAATTCTCTAGCCCGTTTTGTGTTAGCCATGGCGACGACCTCAGTGCCACCCCAATTGAAACGGTGGTCGCACTCGAGTGCGTGAGAAATGACGAGGGTGTTGCGACCAAGTGTGTGTATTTTAGCTAATTTAAACAACAGAAACGCTCAGGTTTACAAGAAAGTTTAGAGTGAAAAATCGAAAATGTGCGTAAACCTACACAACTCCCCCACCAGAGCATTTGTTGTACAAAAGCGATCGATAAAAAATGCAAAAGTTACACCAAATGTCTTTGAGTTTAACAGGAAAATGAATGTCTACCAGAACGAGATGAGATGCGTGGTGCAGTGGTAGGAGAATCAGGATGGGTGGGTGGGGTGGTCGAGTGTGATGGTTAAGTGGAGGGAACTGAAACGGGTGCATCGAATGAGGACGGTGCAGAGGAAGTTGGTGGCACAACTGACCGCAGGATGCACTCAAAATAGGCTGGCTTAAGTCTGTCAATGGAGACTGCGTCGGCATATCGATTTGCCAGTCGTTTATCAAGCACTGCATGAACAAATCGGCAGCGCAGCTGCAGGTCATCCCCCACAGAGGTGAACTAAAAATGCGATGGGCTCGCGTGAGAGTTCGAAACGTCGGATAAATAAACAATTGGTCCCAGCGATCGCCTTCCCGCCTTCTTCCCTCCAATTGCCTGGACGGCGTGCATTCTCTATCACTCCGGACATATAAGGTTAAGAGCGAAAATGCTGACCCCGTGTCTTCGGATGGAAAATGAAAGTAAGGCGAGCTCTGGGTATAAAGGCAGTTCCCCCAGGACATGGTGTTTCGCACAAACACGCACTGTAGCAGAGAGGCCGAGAAGCTACAAGAGATTTCATCCCTTGCACATCTCTTCCTCGTCAATGGATACTAACGTAGCTTCGACAAAAATGTTTGTTCCAAAGGCACACAAGGGCCGACGGCGAGCAAAACCAAAAACCTAAGGTATTTTGTTTCTTGATTTGCGTGTGTTGAAACCACCCAACGTAGGGGTTGGACACC